CAATATCCAATAAAGCCTGCACGAAGTGTTTTAGATGTAAAAAAACAATATCCAGTAAAACCTCCACAGTGTTTTAGATATAGAAAACAATATCCAGTAAAACCTGCACAAAGTGTTTTTGATATAGAAAACAATATCCAATAAAACCTGCACAAAGTGTTTATGATGTAAAAAGTAATATCCAATAAAACCTGCACAAGGTGTTTTAGATATAGAAAACAATACCCAATAAAACTTGCACAAGGTGTTTTAGATATAGAAAACAATATCAAATAAAACCTCCACAAATAACACATAGATAAAGAACCACACAAAGTACTTTGTATATAACACAATGTTTAGGAACAACATGGGACCTACTGGTCCATCTAGGCTGTCTCATCCTCTAATCTAAATTAATCTATTAAAAAACAACAACAATACATTAAATCCAGCCTTTATCTTCATTCATATAGTTATCATGCTTTCTCTTAAAGTTACAGCCTCCACAACATCTGAAGCCAACTCATTCCAAAGCCCAACCATACTGCTAAAAAATTAAAACTGTCTTAGCTGAAGATGTCTCTTCCTGTGCCGAAAATTTATATTTGTGTAACCTAGTCCTACCATTCTCACCATAAAGTGGGGAAAATAATGATGCATCAACACTATCAATTCCCTGAAAAACCCCTCCATCCCAAGCACAATTCTAGTAGCCTTTGTCTGTACCTTTCCAACAATTCAATGACCTTCCTAAGGTAAATAGCCCAAGATTGAACACAACAATTCAAATGTTGCCTAACCAGTGACTCATAGAGTGAAATTATAACCTCTTTAGACTTGTATTTATTATTTATGTAGATACAACCTAAATCCTATTTGCCCTACTATTAGCAACAGCACACTGCTTGGATGGCATAAGAGATTGATCAGCCACTGCACCAAGATCCTTTTCTGTTATTACACTGTTACAGTTATTCCCATCCATATTATGATAACCCACATGCATTATCTTGCATTTATTATAACTAAAACCCATCTGCCATTTATTTTCCCAACTCATTAAATGTTCTAAATCCTTTTGTAAATCAGCAGTATCTTCCTCATAGCCAGCAACACACAAGATCTTAATATCATCAGGAAATTTAAGTAATTTATTGACCATTCCTTTATTTAAGTCACTGATATAAATCAAAAAGAGTAGAGGTCCTAAGACTGAGCCCTGAAGTACCCCACTTGTGACATTAATCCAGTTTGGCTTAACTCCATTTGTAACAACTCCCTACTTTGATCCATTCAGCCAATCTTCTATAGAATTAGCTAACTTTTCCCCCACACCTAAAGAGATGGCCCATCATGACCAGGTGGTAAGGGAGCTCGACTCGCAATCTGCGGGTTTGATACTCCGTCACACCAAACATGCTCGCCCCTTTCAGCCATGGGGCGATTACAATGTGATGGTCAA